ATAGCTCAAGCCTCATGAAATCAATAATTAATTTATTAACTGGGGGTATCTTTTGAAAAAAAAACCCTAAAATCAGCAGTCTTGGCCAGGCTGCTCCTGCCAATACATAAATAGTTGATGACAAAAATGAAAAGTGTAGAAGTAAAATTCAGATCTTAACGATCAAAGTATCGGGTACCTCATCTATCACAACTTGGAATAAACATATCACAGAAAGTGTCATATCTCATTGACACTGCAAAACAGAAAGCTTTCCCTTGTTATCTCCCGAGCTGCCAAGGCTGCAGAGTTTATAGGCTGCTAAGATAATGTGCTGGTGGGATCCACTTCACTTGCAGGAATATGAAGTACTGTTGAAATATATTTCTACTTGGTTTATTCTTTGCTCTCAAGAGGGTAGGGTACTATTTCAGTTCCTCTAAAGAAGCTCAGAGAATGAAAAGCGAAACATCAGGATAAATTATGCTAAATGGTGGACTAGACCCCAGAGGAAATCAGGCTTCTGTGGTACAGTATTCCTCCATTTATCTCACAAATGTTACATCTAATGTTAATTTTGTAAAGGGGAGGCATTCAAAGCTTCATCTGATCCTTTTAATTATAGTTTTAGTCCTATAGTGTTATTTGTCAAGCTCATACCATCATAACTTACTTTTCTAGTTTTGGCAGACCATTCAGACAGATAATATTTTGGCCGACTAATACATAACATTTTATTTCACAAAACACAAATAACCTAGTAATTACACTCCAAAACTTAACAAATAATTGCCAGCAAGCAATTACCATTCAATTAAAGAGTAATTACATGGTTATTTGTGCCCTGTAAAATAAAGCATTACTGAAATCAGCAGTGCAATCAATATTTTAGCAGAAACAGGATGCTGCAGTGATGGACCTTTCAACCTGTGCTGATTAAATTGTCATCCAAATAACAGTTTCCTAGTTAAATCACCACATGTTTATTTGTGTTGATTAATATGCAAATTCACTTCTGATTCTAGTAAATCTCTTATATTTAAGAGCACAAAAGTAGAGCATTATCATACATCAACAGTGATGTGCTCTGTGTTTCCACTGATTAATTACATTTCACAAAGCATTGATGAATTTGTGGATTTTATGAAATATAGTTGTCTATAATGAGCATAAAATAGAGTTACGAAAGATGGAGCTGATCAGTAATTTTAAGAAAATCACAAAAATAACCTAATTTCATGTTTTGATTCAAATTAAAAATCCTTGGGATATCTAGGGAATATATAAAACTTTGAGAGGAAAAATAATAAAATTAGATCTCAACAGGAGAGGCAAATAAAGAAGAAAACAGACATTAATGAACAATTTCACAACATTTTACTGTATAAATTTTAACTGTCAGACATACTGCTTATGATGTAATTTATTTTCTGGCAAATTTAATTTCAAACAAAATTAAAAAAATGAACAACATTCAAATTAGTTCATATTTCTCTTTCAAGAGTTAGTGATTTTTCAGGGGTGGGGTGGAGAGGATGGGAAGAATAACTACAGATATAGTATAAATGCAGGTAGAAACCCCAAAACTTCCAGTCATCTTCACTTCCAAGTAATTGATAACCCAAGGAGTTTTTGGGGTTTCTTTTTGAGAGATACTAATAGAATTTTAACGAGTAGAGACTTTGAGCTGACCTTATTTAGTAAAAAGAATAAGATTCCTGAAGTTATAAATGAGAAACAGTGTTTTACTTCTGTTTTAGTTTCCATGGTCTTCACTTGGGACCGTAACTTTTGTATTTTAAAATGTTTTTAAGAGATATCTAGAAACCAGCAGTTTCTAACTGCGTTAACATCAGTTTAGATTTGAGTAAAATTTTCCATTCACATCGTTCCTATTGATGGCAAATATAAAATTTGTGCAGAGATTTTAGACCCTCAAAGAAACACAGTTTGAAGCTGATTGTTCCTGTTTATGCTTCCTTTGTTACCAGCGAGGAAAAGATTTTTCCGCACTTCTGGAATGTGTAACTTTCTCGAAGGAGATAAAGGAAAAGGTGAAAAAGAAAACGCAGTAAAGGAGCAGGATGTGACAAAAGATGATGAGAAATGATATTAAATAAAGTTAATATTTATATGCTAATGCTATTAGCATTTATATGCTAATACTTACATAATCACAAATTATGTCTTACTCTCCTGAAATGATAACTCTGCTTGCCTTGGCGTTGCTGTTCAGTGCTCGTATTAGCAATTTTCTCTCAATTGTGGGGGTTAGATGTGTTTTAAACAGTAAATGTGAAACTTGTTGGAATCCTAGACCTCATAAGACGATAAGAGGGAATATTTGGGAGTGTTGAGATGGACCAGTGAAATTCCATTGCTTGGTGTTGCCAGCCCTGGCCCTCACGTCAGTGCACCCACAACACAAAGTAAATCCCACAGAAACCTGGAATCTGCTAATGCTTTCTTTCCTCTGTGCATCTCTTATTAAAAAACAAGATTTCGTGCAGACCTTTGTATCCTGTTTCTGTGAAATTTCTGGTTTCACATTTGAACAGAAATGGCAGAAAATTTATTTCTGGCCAGAGCTGGAATTGTTTGGATTCAGATGTGGAACCGAGATGCTTTCTGTGAGTTCTGGTGTCCTCCCAGGCTAAAGGTCTTGCTTTGTGATGGGTGACATGTCTCTGTGATCTCCAGGGAATCCATCTGGAAGTGCAGGGCATCTGGGCAGTGCTGGGAGCTCTTGACTTTGTTTCCTTGGGTCAGAACCAGACACGGGGCAGTGAAGGTGTTCTCATGTGAACTGCAGAACGCAGAGCTAAAGACCCAGAGGGTCCTCTGCAGGTGTGTGAAAGTCATCTCTAAGCAGCAGCCAGCCTGGAGTTTTTCATTTAAAAGCTAAAATTAAATTAGAGACAAAGGACTTCAGATTTTATTTGAACAGATTCAGCTGGGAACAATTCCATTCAAATTATTACGGCTGCAGCTGTAGAAGTAAGCCCAGAATCCGGCCTCTAGGAGTTGCTGCTTTATAGTAATAGTCACTAAAAGGGTTTGAGTAGGTTAGAAGTACACTTTTCTTCATGTCTGCTCATGGTATAATGCAGAGAAACACCTTAAGATCTGCTCTGGTGAACCTCTGGGCTCGGAGTCAGCAGAGCCATCCACACCAACTGTTGTCAGGGCAAAAACTGCATAACCAGGGGTGTGAAACTCCTCTGTCCCCCCTCCCCGTCCTCTGAAAACACAAATCATAAATAAAAAGTCTCTTCATAAAATCTTCTAAAGCTGTTTGTTGAATTTTGAAATGTTTTTCTGAGATTAATATCAACATATGGAGTTTTCTGCAGAAGATTTGTTAGTGTTTGAGCTTGAGCAGAGAATGTTTTGTTGTTTTGTTTTGTTTTTTTTCTTCTGTTGGAGAAAGCTGCTAATTTTAGCTGGTTTGTAGTTGTTTGTTTTTTTTTTTTTCCAGGGACAATAAGTGCCAGCTAAGCACTTAAACATGCCTGTGGATAAGCACAGGTTTCTGTAATTCAAAAGAACAACGACTCTTGTTTGTTTAAAACCCCCACGTACCAGCCTAATACTGTCTGTTAGACAATATTGTTGAGCAGGGGATGATTTCAGCAGGTGATTTTAATAGAAAATGCACATGTGCATCAGACTTCCTGTGGAAATCAACTGCTCTTATTTTAGGTTTACTTTATTATAACCCAGCGAGTCGAGGCTCTTGTAACCAGCTTTACTGCACAGCCATCACAGGATGATAAACAACTGAAAGCATCAAAAAGAAAAAAATGCAAAAAGTACTGAATAAAATGAAATACAGAATGGACAAACCTGAAACTAAAAGAGGGGGGAATGGTTTTATAGAGATAAAATAATAAACAAAAAAAAAAAAAAGATTTTGTGCTACTTTGATGTACAGTAAAACAAAATAACAGTAGCACGGTGTGAAAAATGAACAGGTTAATGGTACCTCTGTGTGGTGCTGCTGGAAGTTGTCTTCATTGAAATGCAGAGTTTGTTGTACGTTGATGGAGGGCTTTGCCACTGTAAGTTGATCGAGCGAAGTTTAACTTAAATTTCTTTGTGAGCTAGGAGTCATTTTGGAAATGTTTTCTATTCAAACCTCATTCATTGTTGCAGCTTAGTTATTTTATACAGTGTTTCACTCCATGTTGTCAAAAGCTCCATTATTCAACAGAGTAAAATCTGTTTTGACCAAAGAGAAGCAGCAATGCTTTTCCAAACATGAGGAGGTTGCATTTTTATTAGCTGGCTTGGGGAAGAGTCGATTCAAATGGGTTTTTGGCCTGTAAATCTGTATTATGATGGCAGCTGTGCAGGATTTACATGTACACACCGATGTAAGGGATAAATGTGGTAGTGGAAAACAAGAGTTCAATGGAACCAGTCTGTAAATGGACCTTTAACATTCTGGATTAAAATCTGCAGCCATTATTCATAAACTGGTGAAGAGGTGGTGAGTTTTTTGCTAGGTTGGGTTGACATTCTTCATTTAATCTGTAGTAATGAAAACCACCAGTCATAATCTGTGAAAATAAGTGGTCAGTTCTGGCACAGCTCAGTGCTAAATTATCTCTGCCCCTTCAAAAGTGGGCAGTTACCTGCCATCATTCCCAAGGCAATGTTTGAGATGATGTTGCATTCAGAGTTCCAATTTCTCATCTTTCAGCATCACAGCTTTTAGTTTTTTGTGGTGCAGGTGCATGGCCCAGACCTTGGAGCAGTTACTGCTGTGACCCCTCTCCACCAGCCACCTGTAAGGTGATGGAAGCCCTGGATGATGGAAGAGCTTACTGTTAGCTCCTTTAAAATCTGTGCAATTCTGTGTTTAATCAAATTATCTTTTCTTAGGCAAGAATTTCTGATTTTTATTTTTTTTTGGTATCACTGATGGTTCATATATTTTGTACAAATCGATGCCGTTGTGTCATCAGCAAATATTTCCGAAAGAAAACGAGTTTTCATTTATGCTCTTATTTCATCAGCTCACGCCCTGGCAGACCCCCCAAGCGTTCCCTAGGAGTTGCCATACAAGAAAATGCACGTCTCCTGCCCCACGGAGTTCCAGGCCTCTTATCACCAGGACTTATCTCTCCGACAGGTAATAAAATCCATCAGATGATCAGCCTCATCTCTTCATACTGCACAGCAGTTAAAATAAACTAATATTGATCTAACTGCCTTGTCCTTCAGGGCTTTTTCAGGCTTTACCAGAGGTTACGTTATTGGATTTTTTGAGTGTTCATGAAAACTCTGTTTTGTTGCTGCAGTGACTGAAATCTAATGGATTTGTAATTTAGTTCTTTATTAATTGTAATTTCCTTACAGGAAATTCCATTAAATGTGTTATTTTAGTAAAAGAAAAAAAAAACCTGAGAAAATGAACTATTGTCTCAGAGCCCTGTAGCAGCATTTCTTCCTTTGAAATGTGTGTGTTTTAGTTCTCGTGGGATATGAGCAGCGTGGCTAATGTGTGTTGTATTGTAACACCATTAATGTATGCTGGGAGATAGAGAAATGCTTGTACGAATTAGAGAAGAAACACTCTTGAAAAGCAGATAAGTCCACGTTGCCACAGTGGATTGTACTTTAATAATCTGCTTTCAGTAACATAATACGAAAAAAGTAGCATGAAAATATGTGAAATTATAAACAAGCCCTAAACATAATCTAATGCATAGTATTTAATTTCACTTCATTAATTTATTAATAGAGTTTAAATTAAATCTTGTGCTATCCTGATGAGTGTTTTAATTTTTTATTAATTGCTGTATGCTAAAGGTAAGTTGATTTTCTTAATAAAGCTATATCCACAGACTGTATTCATAAAAGTCATTGCTTAAACATTCAACAGGCTTAGGAGTTTTAAGATTACTGTCGAAGTCCAGTCTAAATATATTGTAACTCCATAATAACCAAACCTGGTGAAGTGTTTAGGAGAATATAAAGTTGTAGAATATGTTACAGGAGATGCAGAATTAAAAAAGATTATTTCTAGGAGTGTAGTGATGTCTGTCCTGGTCTGACACTGCAGAACCCGTGCACTGCAGTCGAGGGCCTCGGTGGTCTTGGTGTTCTTGGGGGTAACACAGGGAAGAGGTTTAATTTTTTGTACCTCTGTAATGTTCTCAACTCAGGGACTTCATGGATTCGGTGTTGATGTTTGTATTGATAGGAAAGCACAAGAACCACCTGGCACTGATAATTTCTTCTCTGAAATCCAGAATATTCCATATTACTTTCCCACTCTGTGTGAGTTTGCAAATAGGACATCAGATTACGCAGACTGCCTTGTTGCTTTAACCTGGGTAATATTTTAGGATGTGCAGGGTGTGCACATTAAACTCATATCATAGACACATTCTGTGTCTCACAGATATTTTGAGTAAAAGATCTTTTAAGTTGAATTTCTAGGCTGTTGGAGGTTGTTTGGAGTCTGAAGTGATGAGGAGGATGCGTCCCACTGTGTTTAACACACGGGTTTCAGGAGAGGATTGACTTGGGGGGGGTGTCTTTCAGCCGAGGCCTCTCTGACCTTGGGAGCCGCCTGAGAAAACCTGTGTGTGACCCAGTGCCAAAAGCCCCAGACAATGTGCCTGGAGCAGCTGAAAGGGAGCTGTGGGAGCAGCTTGTAGGCGGGAGAAAATGCCCATCTCCAGAGCATCCCGGTGTCACCGAGGGCCCGGGCGAGACGGGTCCCCGCGGCCGGGGCGGCCCTGACGCCAGCCCACGGCAGGACAGCTCCACTGGTGCCCCATGGCCTTGTCACTCAGGAGTCAGAGCTCCTGGTGGGGGTTTGTGTTGGTGTATCTTGTTTATTAAGGAAGAATGATGTAAAATTTGAGGGAGTTTCCGAGTAAGGAAAGATGCTGAAAGAGCCACTTGTGAACACAGTGGGGATTTGAGCTGTTGTAAACTTGATGGAGCACCTGGGATAAGAAGCCCCCATTAGCTTTATTTATACCTATTTACACTTAATTACTGGGTGCCTTCAACGCTGCGATTTGATTCTTTCCTTTTGGCTGAACTAAGAACAAAATGGGTTTTAACACTTCTCACAGAACAGAGGTTTCTCTTCCAGACTTCCGAGTGGTGGATAATAGACTGAAATAAAAGTTGCAAGGTTATTAACCTCTTGCCTACTGGCTGAGTGAGACCATAAACATCAATTTGTGTTTATGATCTCACTTGCATAGAATTTGCTGTGTTTCTGACAGTTCCAGCCCACAGAGTCTGTGTGTAAAGCTGAATCTATTCCTGCCCCTGCTGTCCCTGCTCAGTGACCACGAGCTCGGTGCAGGTTTCTGCACAGAGCAGGACCAGGGCCAGGACGGAGACTGAGGAGAGTTTGCAGCATGGTAGGGCTGGATCCACCCCTTCCAGTAAAGGGGACGCTGATAGTGAGGCAAGGAGGACTTTTTACATCTTGGTGATTTCTTTGTTTACTTCCTTCCTCTATCTGTAGTGTAACTACCAAAAGCATTTCTTCTGAATGTCCTCTTGTCCAGTCCTCGATACTCCCCTGTGTCTGATCTTGCCCATTCTTCCTACAGCACAGATATGCAGATGCTTATGTTAATCTGCTTACATTATTGTAATTAAAAAACCCTCACTCACTATTCTTATGTTGCTCCCTCATTTTCTAATGTGTCAAACTGAGTTGTTTTCTTCAGATAAACTCATTTTAGTAGCAGGTTCCACATCAGCCAATGCAGCATGATTCAGCCATCCATTGCATTTTTTCATTTTTACCTCCTCTTTAGTCCTCTGTCAAGTTAAAGTGAAGGAGTTGTCACTAGTGAGATGGATGGGTCTCAAGAAGTCGCTGTTCTGGCTGCAGAGCTCCCAGCTCTGTCTGGAGGGGGTATTACAGAGTGATGATTAGTAACTTCCTGCAGACTCCGCCGAGCCATCTGTGTTTCCACTCCTTGAAATGTGCTGTTATTTTCATCACCCATTTGGTTTGTGTCAGCTCAGTTTACATGGTCATTTTCACATAATAAACAGGTAGTTAAATTAGGCACACTGCATTTCCCAGTGTGGAGTGTATTTTTTTGACCTCTTGGCAAAGCCAGCTACAACTACTCTTATGCATAAGTAACTTGTGAAGGAGCTGTAAGTGAAGCCTCGACCTTTTTAAGTGTTTGTAGGTACTTTCCACCTTTGGGGAATGGGAGTATTTGGGTTATGTTTGGGTTACTGCTGTGCCTGAGAAAGATGAGGTGGTGTGTCTGGGATGCACGGAAGGGCTGGTGGAAACTGTGCCCTAAGTGCATCCTTCAAGAGCCGATATTTAATTACTGTCTATTTTATGTTAACTTAGGAGAAAGTGTTTTTCTTCTTGTATTGGAGTAGGAAATGTGGAAATCAGCGTGGTGCCCCTGCCTGCTGTGAGGGCAAAGGAAAAAACCTGCATGTCACAGAGGGATGGGCATCAAAGGCTCAGTCCTTCAAACAATGCCGTGGGATGAAGTGACATTAACAAAAAAGAGCTTTATCTCCTATTAATGTACAAGTCTTTATCTTCAGTGTATCCTAAGAAGACAGTTGGGACTTATTTATGGAGCAGATGCTCAAGGAAGTTTCGAGAAGTTTTAAGGAAGGAAGTTTTGGAGTCTGAACCAATAGTTTGCTGTGTGGAGAGAAGCTGAAATCTGTTACTTGATTTAAAGCAGTAGTTCAGCAAACTGTTGATATGGAATGAAGCTGAAAGAGTAGTTGAATCTTTTGATAGTTTTCTGTGCAACTTCATTCCTCCTACCCTTCATTTAGGTTGTCCTCAAAAAAATTTAAAAAACCAATCTATGAAGTCTTCATTGCAATTTTTCTCTATTTAGTTTGTAGAATGGCTGCTGTTATTTCAATAAAATAATTTTGGGGGCTGCTTCATTATGGTTTCAAGGTATTGGAGAGGGTGGCTCATGAAGAAAATCATCCTGTCACTAGAACTCTATTAGATTGTGGTCCAGGTCACAAACCTGCTGTCTGGGTCAGGTTTTTTCATGTGGTAGGACGAGCATCACTCTGACTGCACTTGAGCTGGGAATCCTGCAGCTGGAGCTGGAAACTCTACATGAGTTTCCTTGAAGTGATCTTTTTTTTTGCATAGACAGTTAAAATAGACACTGTCTCATTAGCTGTTTTCTAGAGTTTTTAAGAATGTAATAATTAAAATATTGACCTGTTTGTACAGGTACAAGTACTTTTTTCAGCACAGTTTTGTCTTATTAATAGTTAAAAGAAACTGTTGTGAACTTAATCTTTCAGGTAATGAATATTTTAGTGAAGTTAATATTTTAATAGCTGTACCAAGTCACATCATTGTGGGATCCAAATAAATAAATAACTCACAAGATTATGATAGCTTTATGTGTTACTTCAGTTTATCAGTGGTATCAGCAACCACTTAGTCTTTCTATAGGAAAAGCAGGATAAAACAGTATTTGCTGCAATCTTAAGGCACTTGGATTTGGCATATACATGTTAGAGGAATGAGTGAGACTGATCCCACCTCTTGGGGTGTTTAATGTGGAATCACTGGGGCTGGCAGGAGTCTGGAGCCTCTGGGAGCAGGGGATTGTGGCATTAAGGGATCCCTTTTCTTTCCTAGAGTACATTTTTGTGTGTTTACATCCTATTTCTGTGGCTCATTTCGCTGCTTACCATTACCTTTTTTTTTTTTTTTCAGTTGTCATAGATGTCATTTCAAAGTTCCATTTATAATGAGAAACATATGCAGGACTTTGTCATTGTTGGCATTACCTGGCTTGGTAGAAATTATTATTTTTAATCAAAGGCAAACGTACTGATTAAGGATGCCACAACACTCTTCTGCCTATGGGAAACGTTAACAGTTTATAAATTGTTCTTGGTGACAATTCAGTAGTGAATTACTTTGATATATATGGCTAATAAATTAATATGATTAAGTTAATGAGTAGTACAAGTGTTGCCAAACTCCACTCGTCGGGCTTTTAATGCTGCTCCACATTTGCAGCTCAAGCTTCCCCCTGTGGTGAGAGGATCAGTGCTACCTACGCACTGTCATTGTGATAAATGGCATATCCCACAGTGCCCTGCACTCCATCTGCTCTGTCCCCA